ATGAGAAAGGGCAGTGACTTACTTGGTAGGAGCTGCTGCTACATGAGACCATGAAGTGCTCTGAAAAAAAAGGCAGGAGCAGACAGACAGCCTAGAGCATCGCTGCAAGGCATCCAAAGCAATTTTTCACACTCCCTGGTAATGCCAACGTTTCCGATGGGAGCTAGCTGTTTTCAGTATTGTATTTTAAGCATGGGGCTTGGGGGTGGGTTGCAAGAATGGTCAGGGAAGGACAAACTAACTSAAGTGTCAACTTGCTTTGAGGGGAGTGATAAAATGTCTTCAGCTGTGGAGATCACTCAAAGGGAAGTGTGAATCACTTTCCTTGTCCACTAAGGATTTGAGTAAAAGGAATCATAGCAGGATTAAGATAAGAAGAGAAGAAACAAAAGCATCTTAAAAAACTCCACTGGAAAACATGGAATCACCTAGAGACTTCTCTCCAGGCAACACTTCAACCACACAAGCGGTTGTTTTAAGCCACTGTCATGGCTTAAAAATAGTCCTACCCTGAAGCACAGGAATCCCGAGCCATCTCTAGGATTCCATCCACACAACCTCCGTGCAAACGGGTGAGGCCTGAGGCAAAGCTGGAGTAAAGCCCTGCCAGCCCCTCCCCTCCAAATCCCCCTCACAGACGCTAACAAGGAGCGCTGCAACTGGCAGCTCGAACAGCCAGGTGGACACACTTCCTTCTCGCTGATTATTCCGTGAAGTGCCACAGATTTCTCKTTTATAAAGGTATTAAATCCTGTTAAACACACTAGCCACACCATGTGCTCCATGTGCTAGAATGAGACCTCAAGCAACTGACAGCCCCTCTGCTGAAGGGAGGCTCCTTCAGCACTGCAGTTGAACGAGATCAGCAGACTAAYAGCTAATTTTCTTAAATCTGAAGACAACGGGGATGGACATTTGCAGTGAACTAGACAAACTGACTTCCTATTTAGACACCTGAAAATGACTCATCTCTCAACTGGGATTATGTAACACCCTCAGCTGCCAATAAGAGGTCTAGCAGTTGGCAGAGAAGAGAAGCACAGAGAACCTCTGCACAGCTTGAAGTGCCCCTGAAACACCCTGCAAGGGCACACAATTCCCTGGAGACCCACCACGGCCCCAGCCAGACAACAAAATACTAACTGGCACATAACTGCTCACTGATTACACAAATTGTTACCTTCTTACAAGTAGAAAACTGAAAAAGAATGTGTCTGACACTGAGAAACCAGCAATTCATACAGGATTTTTTTTTTCTTTTTTCAAGATTGAACTAAACATCACCATCAGTTTAGCAAGCATCAGCGTRACCCTGCAGGCTGAGGGCTCTGATGCAGCATCTCTCTGATCCCTGCACCTTTCATACTGAGCCCAGGCTCAAAGGAGAGCAGGACACAAACCTTTCAGCTGCAGCACGTTTACATGGAACACACAAGCAGGCAGAATCAGGTGAAAAATCATTCGCTACTGAGGGGAAAAAATAAATAAAACAATAGAAACAACCAAGGCAATCAAAATCTGGCTTAACTATTCCATAGAACAGTGACATTGCGCAAAAGAAGGTAACAGGAAGCTTGGCGTGAAGCCTGTACACATTATTTGTAAACACTCCTAATGGTAGCAAAAATACCTAAGGAGCCAACATTTACTGTCAGACACCCAAGCTCTGACAAGTGCTGAAACACTCTCAGGGAACCTGAGAGAAAACAAGGAGGCGGCAGATCACAGATCCAGCCCTCTAGCCAAGTAAAACACAGCCCAGAAGACACACTATGATTCTGACTAACTCGAATGCTCTGTCATACAGAGCTTGGCTTTCTGCTGCTCTTGGCTCTTCATTCAGCTACAAAAAAAAAAAAGGGGGAAAATATTCCCAAAACTAGTGAGCCTGGGACTGGTTTCGCTATGGATACTGTTGCAGTAGCAGCTAATGCATCCTTTTAATAAGATATTTTCATTACAATTTGGAAAACAAACAAAAATTGGGGTTTTAATTATGCCTTTAAGACTGYTACTAGTACACAATTACACCTGCAGTAATGATGCCCAAGACAGAGCAAAATACATACAAATTTATTTTAATGAAGAAASAGCAATAATAGGCAAATATAACTGAATTAGAATAAGAAGTTGGGAGTGAAATACATAGGAACTGTGGGGAAAGCAGCCTATCTTATTTCTGCACAATCTCTAATGTCCTGAACAAAAAGCCTTTACCATAGGAAACTGCACTGTAGTACAGGGATRTGACCTCTTGCCAACCTGTGGAAGGGGAGAGAAGTCTCTAGGCTGAGAAGTCACAAAACATCCTCCAAGTACAGTTTGGGTCAATTTTCCATTTGTTCAAGTTTGGTATCTCTGATCATGCATGTGAATTACAGCATTATGTTTCCAACCAGATTATCCATTTAGATATCAAGGTCTACCTGTGCATATGACTTTTGAAGCAAAACACATTTTTTTTYCCTCTTGCAATTAAATATATGTTCTGCTCCATATAGCAAGATGTAGCCAATGTGTTTTGCTTTTGCAAGGGCACAAATTCTAATCTCAAAGGACTCTCCATGAAGAAAGCTTTACAGAAAACAACAGAAAAAGGGAGAACATTTGTATTTGATCACTAGAAAGCCTGGAGTATTGTGGAAGCAGATGCCATGAAGTGTGTTAGTGTCTTTGCTTGACAGAATGCGAAAGGCCTTTCGAGTCCTTGCTGACACCAGCTCTCTAGGAAAAGAGTAAATGTCTGTGACAGGAGGGAGAGTTTATTAAAATTCCAGAAGAGAGTAACAATACTTACATGCCAATATATGTTGTTTAACCAATGGACTTACCTGCCAGGAGGGGATTACATGGCCATAAAAGGCTTTAAGCCACACAGATGTGAACCAGAACCACAGCCCTATCTTTGTAATGGAGAATCACAGAATCTGCCAACTTCAGAATTTAAATACTCAACAAGCCCTCTTAAAATACATCATACCAACAAAGTAACTATGTTTATTCATAAGCTAGGAAAACATGTAACCGTTTTCTTTCCTCCTGTAAATGGGCTATTATGATAACAGACCATCCTGAATTTACCACTTGAGGTAAAGGCCAGTTTTACCTCACAGGAATCAAGAGAATCACAGGTTCATTGCATGTGGAAGGGACCTTAGGAGGCCACCGAGCGCAAACCCCTGCTCTGCCGGCACTGAATTCAGGCCAGGCTGCTCAGGGCTTTTCCTCACTTAGCTGCTGCATGTCTCCAAGGACAGAGATTTACAAACCCTCTGGGAAATCTGTTCCAGTGTTTCAATCCAAGTCGTCTTTATCTCCAGGCAGAACCCTGCCTCTCTGGTTCAACTTGCCCTGTTCTCATGCACCTCAGCAACCCTTTTTGGAGACATCAGAAGGCTGCTAGGAGGTCCTCCTGAAGCCTCCTATTCTTTGTGGTAAACAAGCAGTTCCTCAGCCTCTCCCTGCATGTTTTGCTCCACCACCTTTACCAGACTGGGCAGCCCTCCACGAGATTTGTAGATAGATTCAACTTTATCAACAAYTTTCCTGTACTGGGAGAGGCCAAAACTGGACACAGTACCCAAGGTACAGGAAGCAATAAGGAAAATAACCACTTCCCCATTTACTGCCTGTAGTGCTGCTGATGCAGGTCAATGCTGGTGCTACTAGCCCTCTCGTGCCCTCATTCAAGAGGCACTAAAAGAGTTTAAAGTTTATATCTTAAAGCAGCCTGACTAGCCTGGCACTCTCAACACACATGCTGTCTTTTCATTTAGGTTACAAGAACTGGATTAAAGACCATCTGTACAAGGAAATTCTTACACAAAATGACTGAGACAGAACAGCTCAGGGTTGCTGCCCATGACACATTCTGTAAGCATCACTATTAAGGCAGTGATTCAGTTTCCATACTGAAAAGTGTTAGTGAATAATTTCATAGAAGAAATCATCGTCAGTAGCAGGAYGGTTTTGTTAACTAGCACCAAGTGCTTCCCTGCAGCAACATCTCAGCTCATCCTTACACATAACATACCCTTAAGATTTGTCAGTACCTTCAGTAAAGTTCCCAAGCAAATATTTATGCAGTTAAGCCATACCAGGTGACTAATGTACATTTGAACTTTTATTGATCCAGAAGTGAAGAGGGAGTGCTTAAAGGCTTCCCATAAACCATGTAAAAGTCACAAGAAAAGATTTATTTCTTCCCAAGTTAAAYATGTAATCGTGACCTCAATTTGACAGAGTGAAGAACAGGATTAAGTTTTTCCATAAACATTTACAGATGCGCCGTAGGTTTTTTTTTTTTTTTTTAAACACAACACCTTCATCACCACACTCTCCCAACCATACAGGAACTGAATTTTTTTTTTTTTATGTGCAACAGCTGCATATCTTTCACAGCAAGTTAATAAATACTAGCAATGATCCCAAAATAGTTATCGTTAAAAATAATAGATTCAATTGAAGACAGCATCTAGGAGTAAATGGGGAGCTGATCACGCTAGTAAACAGAGTTAACAGCCGTTACGGACTCCTGTAAAAACAGCTTCAGAAGCTCTGAAATACAAAGGAAACTACAAGTCACTGTGTCCTACACCAGTTCCGTGGATAACGTTAAAATAATGCTTGCAAAGGTTTTTCCAGTTTTATGAAACTCTCATATAGGTAAATTACGATTTAGAGGCCCAGATATCCACAGCTCCATAATTTTCACGCTCCAAAATTACACTTTAGCTACAGGAACAAGTGCGCAGAGGACTGCATACACAAGCATGCACACATCTCCCCTCCCTCACAGAAAGCAACTCTACATCACAGTCTAAACAGGCTCCTCCTCTTTAATCCTGTGGAAGCAACTTAAAGAATTCCCTTGCTTCTAGTCTTCCGCTTTATCCACACAGCAGGGCTAACAGGACATGTTTTTCCTGAAGAATACAAAGTCATTTACAGTTGCTTGAAACCATTATATGAATTATAAAGTAAAATGTATAACCTCTTACCTGAGCATGAAAATTTGACATTGTCGTTGTCTCTATATCTTTCTTTCCCAAAATCTCCATTTTCACTGGTGAATTGGGAAAATTAAATGAAAAGTAGTCTAAAAAGTCAGGTAAGTAAGTAGCTGCCCCATGAACAATACCCATTACATAGTAAGCTGCACAGTTTTCATTTTCACTAAAAACCAGACCCACAAACTCTTCTGCAAATCTCTCCATCTCCACAGGAGATAAGTGGGAGAGTTCATTACTGTAGGCATGGATAACTGATGCACCTCCGTTAGGCTGGTGCTCAATATGAATCAGCTGTTTGAACTCCAATGTGTCCAACCTTTTGAGTTTATTTTGAACCCGTGGCTCCTTTAACGAGACAAATGGAAACTCACTGTTCTCTGGTATCTTGGACTCATAGTCCTTCTTGGGATCCATATTTTTCCCATTGAAATCCTTAAGATGATCATCTATGATGCCTTTGGCTTCCTGATCCTCAATATCAGAAACCAATCCTGAGCAGATGGTCTGAATGGATTTGCTGTACATTTTTGGACGCTTCCTTTTTTCATTCTCTTTATGTTTCTTTTTCTTTTTCTTCTTAACTTTTTTAATCTGTAGTTCTTCTGCATTGGTTTTTGGTTTCTCCTTCCCACCTGTTGAGAGGAAAAAAGTCTCTTAAACACCTTTATATAGATACAGACATGCACACACATGTAGAGATCAGGATTCAAAGCCACCAATACTCTCATCATGGCACATATGGAGATGAATACCGAGTGTCACGTAACACAAGGGTATCTTACCAGAAAGAAATAGAGAAAGCTGCCACTGCTGCACTGTATGACTCACATAAAAGCTTCAGGAAAAGAAACATAGAAAAATACATTTTTCCAAGACTGCTTTCAYGATCAGTCATTCTCCTATCCCTGTCATTTAACTGGTCATCAGAAATTCCAATGGCAGAAAGTCCAGGCACAGTAGCTGACTGCTGACAGCAAACACTGCCGAACAAGGCATTTACAGATGGTCACCAAGCACCATCCATCAGCAAACCATTTACACAAGCTGCTGCCAAAACCTACCTTGCCATGGGGATTTGTGTGGTAAAGCTTCCAGAACCAAATAAACTTTGCAGAACTGAAGTAGGAACAGCTAAGAACTGACCGCAGATTTCCTTTAAAATAAAAGTAATAATAAACCCTTGCAATAAGAGAAGTAGCAGGAGCTAGCATAAAAGCTGATATCTTGCACGTTGAACTGAAAACAAACTCTAAGTTCCCAAAGCTAAGATACGCATTTAGGAGATAATGTGGTAAAGTGATTCTGATGGCCAGGGATTCACCCCCCCCCCCTTTTTTTTTCGTGGACAGCACTTGCCCTCCATTCAGAAATGGGGTAGTTAGAAACCTTCCATCACTAGACTTTCYTCATGTCTTGTTGCCAATACAAACTCATTTCTTTATCTGATGGGTCAAGTTACTAGACAGTAATTGCAGAACACAGAATTACATTCACAGCAAAGAATTCACAGAATCACAGAACGGTTAAGGTTGAAATCAAGATTAGCAGGTTCACAGACAGCACCTTAGAAAAGTCTCGCTACAAAATGCCCACCTCCCAGGCACTCCCAGCCACAGCAGGCCCGTCACACAGGAATTCCCATGCCAGCAGCTGCTACTACCCTGCAGCAGACCGACCTCAACTTGTTATTTGCAGCCCAAGTCACCCACGACACCGTCCTCCCTACCCCCTGCCAAGTCCTCTCCATGCTGGGCCAGGAAATTGCACATCCCGCTGGTAACCTGGAGACTGGACGTGGAACATGCCAGGACACGGGCAAGGAGCCRAGCAACGGGGGCACCTGCCACGGGAGCCGTCCGAGTTCTGCCACAGCAGTCTCGAGACACTGGGAATCCTGGCAGACAGACAGGGAGCTGCTTCTTTGTAGCTTCTACTCTCTCAATTTCTGGGGCAGAGAAGTGCCCTGAGCTCCCTCATTCTTTATTAGCCCAAACAAGAACTTGCACTCTGGGATTTCCTAACCTAACCCCTACAGGCAGGAGCTACAAAACCTTCCTTACCTCTATATTAGATTTAGCAGAGCAATTTCAGTACTGGCCAAGTGAGAGCGACTGCCAAAAGGCACGTGAAAACCTGCCCTGCCATTAGATCGTGTTTAAGGAAAAAGATAACATGCTCTTCCTGCAGCGTTACTGCCTCATCTGGCACCCACAACACTCGGAGCGTCATTGCAGTCGTCCTTCTGATGCCTGTTTAAGGCCAGCAGGCATGGAGAGACCACAAGGAGCAGCCAGATATGCTGAGCAGCCCCCTTACAGGAGRCACAAACACAGCCCGGAGGGCCAAGGACCTCATTTCTCTCCTGGGGGAAAGTCTGCAGCCAACACACCATCATCTGGCAAAGCCACCTGCTGCTGATCATTCTCCCTGGCACCCTAACATGTGTCCCTGTGGTGCCAATGCCAGACAGAGGGAAACAAGAAYGGAGAGATAATTATGGCAATGGGCAGCATCACAGCATGGGCTTTAAAATCCCAACCCAAACCTCAAATTCGGACCAGAGAATGGAGAACAGCTCTGTTCTCCTGCCTGCAAGAATCCACAACTGAAGAGCACTCAAAGAGTCTGCAAGGATTTCAAATTCCCAAAAGGGTTTTAATTTACCTGAAAAATTATTTCAGGTTTTCATTATTCATTCATTTTCATTATTTTCAGAATTTAAGTATGAAAATTCTTCACTGTAATGAATGATAACAAAGCTGTCAAACATTCTCAAATACTGAGCTAACCTAAATACAGAGAATATGGAATTAGGCCACCAAATGCTGTAACAAATCCAGGGAGCGAGGGGAATTATCTATCAAGCTACTCCACATGTTCTCCAGAGGAGCACACAGCTCCTTCCAGGGAGCAGCCACTCACATCTGGGACATGATGCGTGGCAGGGAAGTGCTGACAATTTCTATTCCATGGGGTACAAATCAGAACTACAACTGGCAAGCAAATACAACAACAGTTGTTCTCAGTTCTCAGACTTAAAGCTGTCTATAATAATCAGAAAAGGAGAAGATCTACATCCACACTATTAACACCCTTACCGCATGCTCTACTATAAAGCTACACTACACTCCTACTAACCGAAACATGAAGTATTTCCAGATCCATGTGCTTATTTTACATATTTGGGCAAGATTAACTCAAAAACTGCCAACCTCCATGTTTGTTTCCAACCTCCTCCAATGTAGGAGAAAGAAGGAAGAGCATCTGTGCCATTCCCTCCTTCTGGCACCCAGAGAACCTTATCAGAAGGTAGAGACATTCTGCTACATTTGACTCCTCCTGCAAGGTGCTGTCAAAACAAATAAATACAAAGCAGAAAGGCTAATCACAGCCTCCAGTCATAGCAAGGCAGGAAAGAAAAAAAACCCTAAATTTGCAAAGCTAAATATCCGTAAAGCAGCACCGAAGGGGACATCCCCCACCRTGGTCTCAGAAGCAGCAGTGTTTCAAAAGGAAAAGAGCACAACCTGCGTGACTAAAATCGGACACCGCGAACCCCACCAGCGCCCCGGGAAGTTACAGAATTAGGCCAAGTTTACATGAACACACGCAGGGAGATTTACACTCACACCAGCTGCAGCAACAAATTTTAGTTCGACTTGGTATAAACCTACTAAACTATAAATCTTTTTATAGAAGGATTAAATGAAGAACATCTTTAAGTCAAAAATATTTTTCGTTCTTTTTTTTTTTCCCAGCACATCCCTGAGGCATTCAGAAGTAGCAGAACAGGAAATAGGTTAAAAATAAGAATGTCACTAGTATCTAATAGAGCCCACCTTCAGTTGCAGCTGAACTTTCTGCTCAGCTTTAGATGCAACTACTTTACAACATGCATAACGTTGTATTACTAGCAGAACTGAAAAAATACTAACTGTATTTCTTAGGCCCCTGCTAATACACATGCTACAAGAAAAGARAGTAACACTGAAAGCCTTCGGTGACAGGCTGAAGTGATTATGCCATTTAAGCATATGAAGTACCAAAATCTATCTGTAGATGTTTTTGCTAATCATGTGAAGAGTTGCAAAAATGCTGTATGCAATTTGGAGGCAAATAAATTCATCTGCTAGCAGCCTCACACGTTTCAACACTGCTCTTCTGCTACACATCTTTTTGGCCCTCTAAACACTCTCAGGGTAGAACTGAAGCAATTAAACTCAAAATGTCTGAGAACCAGAGTGCAATAACAAGAGAGAGAGCAAAGAGCTGTATAAAAATATCCAGGGTGAAGAGTATGGAGATCCCTGCACTTACAGGGATTCTGTCCTAGAGGAAGCAGAAAAATGCGGAGTCTCTTAACCCTTGGCAGCAMACGTGACGCTCCTCTCACAGGACATGAGCCAAGGGGGTCACTGAGCAGGAGCGAGCCCCGAAACACAGAAGCTGAAGAAAGAGGACTCCAAAGCAGAATTTTTGAAAACATATTGCTGCAGTGGGTTAAATTTGCAACTTTAAATTAGCAATTATATTAATGTCTCTGTTCTAAAAAATATATTTTAGTACATTTAACTATAACACCATGGATCAGTCTACAAATTCTTCCTTCTGTCCCTTATTCCAGCACCACCCACGTGCTCACAGCACAGTGCCTGCTCCTAAGAGGACTCGGACATAAGCCCAACTTCAGCATATTTGTGTCCAATTATTTCAGCACGCAGCCAAGTTTGCCTGGAGAATACAAACAGGACACAGAAAACGGTGATTTCCAAGAAGAGCAGTTCTCAGCAAAACTTGAGCAGACTTTCACAGAACAAAGGAGGGACTTTTCTAGTTTAAGGCTTCTGCTTGGCTGAACTTCAAAAATCAGCTCCCAAGCAGGTGTTTAAAGCTGCTAAGAAACTGAAAAGACTTGAAAATAATATAAAGGATTCCTGAAATAGGGAGATTGCCATCAGCAGTGCTGCCCAGTGAAGTGCTTTCATTTTAATGTGCTTTTGCATTAGTCATGGCATGAATAGAAAAATGTCCAGTCACTGCTCTGCTGCAAATTTCACTGCACTTAAACACAGCACAATGGGCTGCTGCTTCCAACACCAATATTGCCCCTGCGACGCTTGGTTAATGGACACTGGGAAAACAGAGCTGCACTTAGCATCTCCCTAGGGCAGCAGAACTGCTCCAGAGCCGGCAACACAGAACAGAGTAAAAACACCAGAAAGCCGCCCAGAAGCTGAACAAAGATCCAAGCGCTGTAATGCTGAGATACCCAAACTAGCTCTGTCCAAGCCAAGTCTGGCAGCAGCAGAGCAGTGCCTGATGTAATTTCACCTCTAAACAAGGCAATCACTCACAATCCTAAACCTTCAATACAGGTGTTTCAGGCAGTCTACAACCAACAATCACAATAAACTTGTGTCATACATAGATTTAATCTAACTTGAACCAAGGGAATAAAAACCTTAGATATTTTGAAGTGCAGGGCATGTTTATCTCAATATGCTCTGAGATGCATTTAGAGCACAGGGATTGCAGCACAATTCAAACCAAAAACCCCTATTTCTCCACCGTGTGATTCAGACACGAGACATAGGAAAGAATTTTTGCTCGCCTTAAACCAGTGGTCTGATTC